ATTTATTTATTTATTTATTTAAGAGAGAAAGAGAGCACGAGCTGGGTGAGGGGCAGAGAGAGAGAGCAGACTCCCCACCGAGCAGGAAGCCCAATGCAGGGCTCAATCCCAGGACTCCAGGATCATGACCTGAGCCAAAGGCGGACACTTAACCAACTGAGCCACCCAGGTGCTCCTCATTGTGATATTTTGATTTTACATTTAATGGGAGGGGGGAAGAGGTGTTATGTTGCTCTGGGTCCAGCATTGAGCTGCCTCTAGGCAGGTACCACTGAGTGTCCTTTCCCGCTCCTCAGCCTCTCTGGGTTGAGGCAAAAGCGCAGCCCTCAATGTGCATTCTCATTCCAGCCGTGACAGTCATACCAAATAAAAAGACTGAGCACTAATAAGCTGCTCAGGTTTGAATCCTGGCTTTGCCGCTTCCTACCTGTATGACCTCAAACAAGGAACTTAATCTCTCTCTGTAGCTTGGTTCTCTCACTTGAAAATGGGACTGATAACAGTACTTACCTCATAGAACTCCTGTGAGGATTAAATTAGATAATCCAGGACCAGGAATAGAGTATTCCACGTGTTAGCTATAACTACCATTATCTCATTTAATTGCTGGCTTAAGACAACACCAAGACTTAACTACTATTATCTACAGGCAAGGGAACTACAGCTTAGAGAGGTCAAGTCCCTGGTGCAAGGACACAGAGCTAAAATAAGTGGGCAAGGCAGCACTTGAACCTGGGTTGAACTGACTCCAAAGCACAGACTCTTATCTCCTGCCTCCTTTAGATGGGTAGAATTTTCTGAAGAGGCTCAGAGTCAAAAAGATCCAGGGACAAACAGAGTATCAGAGCCAGAAGATCTGCCCCTCCTTCAGATGGATTCCCTGAGAAAAGAAGTAGCTGACTAGCTAAAATGTCTCTGTGGGTTACAGGCAGAGAATGCTGCTCCTGGGTCTCAGATCTAGGACTTCTCGAGTTTGTCCTCTGTCTACACCCCAACCTTTGGGGTTGAGCTGTGCCTGCTACCTCTGCCCCCTCTCCAGTATCCCTGACATTCTGTCCTTTCAAGTTATATCTCCCTTTTCAACCAGAATCTGAACGCTTCTATCTGCCAAGAGCTAAACTTACTTGATCTTCGGGCCCAACATCTTTGGAAGAGTATTCCCTGAGGTGTTAATCCTCCTACTGAAGCTGGTCCCCTTTGGCTCCCAGGAGTTCTGGAGGTGCTTAAGTTTCAGAAAGCTAAAGTCCTGTACAGGATATGATTTGATCTGAAATTCCTTAAATCTCTCCACAGGAGAAGGTTCTGTTAGAGAAAGCACAGAAAAACACATTAATGGGTCTTTGCATATATGAGGTCTGTGCTGATGATGAAAGGTATACCCTACTCACCTGCCTGGCCAGTCTGGCCCATGGGGAAATAAAGGAAAATAGAAAACACTGTGCTTTCCATGTATTGTCCCTCTGCTCTGGAGCAGAGCCTTCACATATGTTACATCCACGTAAGTGTCACTGGCTCCATTTAAGAAATCAAATGAGCAGCAGAGTTTAAGTCACCCAGGAAACGGCTGAAGCTTGGATTTAACTCAAGTCTACCTGATTTAAAGCTCATGACTTTCCACTAACAGATCATATTCATCTGGGATTGAGGACGGAGGCAACAGTAAGAGATAAAGGAATGATGAGCCATAGAACCTTGGACGAGGTAATTTCCTGGAGCCCTCATAGGATTTTTTTTTTAATTTTATTATGTCCTCATAGGATTATTATAAGAATTACAGATTAAGGGGCACCTGGGTGGCTCAGTCAGTTAAGCCTCTGACTCTTGATTTCAGCTCAGGTCATGATCTCAAGGTCCTGGGATCAAGTCACACGTCGGATTCCGCACTCAGCACGGAGTCTGCTTAAGACTGTCTCTCCCTCTCCCTTGGCCCCTCCCCTCCGTGGGTGCATGTTCTCTCTCTGTCTCTCATAAATAAATAAATCTTTTTTAAAAATAGATCTCCAGTGTTCGAATCAACTATTAAAATTAATGTTAATCCAAATCCAAAATCTATAAAGAGTAGGCCTAAATTAACACAGCACATATAAAAAGCCCCAAGTGGGGCGCCTGGGTGGCTCAGATGGTTAAGCGTCTGCCTTCGGCTCAGGTCATGATCCTGGAGTCCCGGGATCGAGTCCCGCATCGGGCTCCCTGCTCGGCGGGGAGTCTGCTTCTCCTCCCTCTGACCCTCCTCCCTCTCCTGCTCTCTGTCTCTCGTTCTCTCTCTCTCAAATACATAAATAAAACTTTAAAAAAATAAAATAAAATAAAAAGCCCCAAGTAAACCTTTTTGGAAGGCTTTTTGGTCAATATCTATCAGTATTTTAAATGTGTAAGACCAGCATGCAGTGGATTGATTACTTGATTCAATAATTCTAAGAATTTATCCAATGTTTCCTTGTACAAGTATACAAAGATAAACACATCATGAAATTTACCACAGCAGGGTAATAGTGAAAAATTGGAAATAACCCAAAATATCTGTAAAAGGTCATTGCTTTAGAGCTAATTATGGTATATACATACAGTAGGATAAAACTCAGCTACTAAGAAACATAGATCTAAAAAAAGAAAGAAAAAGAAACATAGATCTATACTTCTGCTTCCAACCAAATGGACTAACAGGGACTAGACTTACCCTCCCACCTAAAACTACTAAAAAAACTGGGATAAATGTATGAGGCACTGGGCATCAGGCCATGAAGAACAATCATCCCTGCAAGATAGAAAACAAATGGGGTAAGCCCTACTATTGCCCCAGCTTACTGCCTGGAGGTTTTCTGAGCCATGTTGCAGGGAGAGGGAACACAGGGGGAGCCCAGAAATTTCCCTGAATTGATGAGACAGAACTGAGAGTCTGGAGAGGACAAGGCAGTACAGTTCACAGGGCAGAGAGCTGCACAAAGAAAGAACTCTGAAGATCAAGGCATAATAAATGGAAACACATCCCATGTTCATGGACTGGAAGACTCAGTACTGTTAAGATGTCAACACCACTCAAAGTGAGCTATGGATTCAATGCAATCCCTATCAAAATCCCACTGACTTTTTTGCAGAAATAGAAAATCCATCCTAAATTCATATGAAATCTCGAGGGACACCAGATAACCAAAACAATCTTGAAAAGGAACAAAGCAAAAGGACTCACACTTCCTGATTTCAAAACTTACTACAAAACTACAGTAATCAAAGCAGTGTAGTATTGGCATAAAGACAGACATATAGGGGCGCCTGGGTGGCTCAGTCGTTAAGCGTCTGCCTTCGGCTCAGGTCATGATCCCAGGGTCCTGGGGTCGAGCCCCGCATCGGGCTCCCTGCTCCGCGGGAAGCATGCTTCTCCCTCTCCCACTCCCCCTGCCTGTGTTCCCTCTCTTGCTGTGTCTCTCTCTGTCAAATAAATTTTTAAAATCTTAAAAAAAAAAAAAACAGACAGACATATAGACCAAAAAAATAAAATAAAGAGCCCAGAGATAAACGCTCAGATATATGGTCAAATGATTTTAGACAAGGGTGCTAAGACTTCGGTGGGAGAAGAACAGTGTTTTCAACAAATGGTGCTGGGAAAACTGAATATCCACATGCACAAGAATGAAGTTAGACCCTTACCTCATACCACATATAAAAATTAACTCAAAATGGATCAAAGACTTAAGTGTAAGTCCTAAAATTATAAAGCTCTTAGAAGAAAACACAGGCCTTGGGGCACCTGGGTGGCTCATCTGTTAAGTGTCCAACTCTTGATCTCAGCTCAGGTCTTGATCTCAGAGTCCTGAGTTTAAGGCCCCCTCAGCATGGAGCCCACTTAAAAAAAAAGAAGAAAACACAGGGCAAAAGCATCGCAACACTGGATCTGGCAGTAATTTCTTGTATATTTTCCAAAGGCACAGGCAACAAAAGAAAAAATGGACAAATTGGACTTCATGAAAATGTAAAAAATTTGTGCATCAAAAGACACTATCAACAGAGTAAAAAGGCAACCCACAGAATGAGATAAAATATTTGCAAATCATATATCTGGTAAGGCATTACCATCCAAAATATGTAGAAAATTCCTAAAACTTAACAAAAAAACAGACAACCAGATTTTAAAACGGGCAAAGAACTTGCATAGACATTTCTCCAAAGAAAACATGTGAATGGCTAATAAGCACATAAAAAGATGCTAAACATCACTAATCATAGGGAAATACAAATCAAAACTACAATAAGATGCCACCTCCTACCCATTAGGATGAATATCATGTTTAAAAACCAAACAAACAGAATATAACAAGCACTGGTGAGGATGGGGAAAGACTGGAACATTTGTGCACTGTTGGTGGGAATGTAAAATGGTACAGACCCTGTGGAAAATGATATGGCAATTCCCTAAAAAAATTAAAAATAGAATTACCATATGATCCAGTAATATATACCCACTTCTGGGTATATATTCCAAAGAAAACCAGGTCTCAAAGAGATAACTATACACCCATGCTCATAGTAGTCACTATAGCTAAAATGTGGAAGTTCTCAAGAGTCCATCGATGGATGAATGGATAAACAAAATGTGATATGTACATACAATGGAATATTATTCAGGCTTCAAAAGGAAGGAAATTCTGACACACGCTACAATATGATGAACCTTGAGGACATTATGCAAAGTGAAATAAGCCAATCCCAAAAAGAAAAATACTGTATGCTTCCAATAATATGACGTAGAGTAGTCAAAATCATAAAGATAGACAGTAGCATGATGGTTGCCAGGGGCTAGGGGGAGGAGGAAATGGCTAATTGCTGTTTAATAGGGATACAGTTTCCATTTTACAAAATGAAAAAAAAGATTAGGAAATGGATGGTGTTGATGGCTGTCCAATATTATGAATATATTTAATACCACTGGACTGTAGGTATAAAAATGGTTAAGATAGTAAATTTTATGCTATGTGTATTTTGCCACAGTGAAAAAAAAATTGGCTAAAAAATATGGGATGCAGCTTTTTCTTTGGTGGCTTGGCAGCAGAAAAGAGAGAAAAAGAACTGACATGAGAAGAGAAGGGATATTTCCTGTGCACCTGAGTATAGGCCTGTACACACACAAGCTGATTCAGCCCCCCTTATAACCTGTGGGATAAAGATAACAAACACCTACCATAGCCTGATGCATCCAGCTAGTGTTCTAAGAGCTTTATATATTCATTTGCTTCATTTCATACAAGTCCACGAGGCAGGGACTATCTGAGGGAACTGATAGCATGGGGACACGGTCACTTGCCCAGTATCACACAGCTAGTAAGAGAGGGACCCTGGATTCAAACACAAGCAGTTTGGCTCCAGGGCCTGTGCTCCCAGCCACCACGCTACTGTGACAAGCCAGACCCAGAGGCTTTAAGTACTCAGTGAGTCATCCAGCTAACCAGGGAGATTCAAACCCAGCTCTGTCAAGCTCCAGGCTCCTTTCCACCCCTCTCCCCAGGAGCACCTGAAACAAAGGGAAAGCCTAAAAAGGAAGAGCCGGAGGGTGGGCAGGAGCCTCACCCAGTGGGGCCATGTGGGCCACGTTTCCACAGCTGCGAAAAGAGGGGATCAAACCAGACATCCTGCTGGGCCTTTCTAGCTCTAGACGTCTAAGATTCTATGGGCTGGGAACTGGAAGCCACAGGGCCCAGGCGCCCCCTACTGTGCGCGGCTGCCGGTTACCATTGAGGTGGGTCTTCAGAGGTCTGTTGTCTATCAGCTCCAGATGCTGCCAGATCCACTTGTAGTAGAAAGGCGAGGTCCTGAGGTCTATCAGACGCAGCACTTCACAGCTGCCCTGGAAACATCAAGGGACACAAACAAAAAGGCTAAGCCCTGAGGCTCAGGGCAGGCCAGGCTTTGAAGATACGCTCTACTGCATCTTACCCCAGTTTACCTGGCTTAATGCAAGTGGTTTCAGGTTTTGTTTTGTTTTTGTTTTTTTTTAACACAAATGTTATCTATTCATCACAAGCTCAAACAGCTAAATAGGCATGAGAACTAAATAAATGTTGGCATGGGGGGAAAAAAATCACCATAGAGAATGTTATTGGGACAACTGGTGAAATGGACTATGGACTGCAGATTATATGTTACATCAATGTTAAATTCCCTGATTTGGATAGTTATTCTGCAGTTAATTTCTGACTTTAGAAAAAAAAAATCACTTAAGTATATAGGGGTAAGTGAGTATAATGAATGATATTTAACTCTTAAATGATTCAGGCAGGGAAATGTATATATATAGAAGCAAATGTGGCAAAATGTCAATAATTGGTGAATCTGGATCAAGGTTATACAGGAGTTCTTTGTACTGTTCTTGCAACTTTTCTATAAATTTTAAAACATTCCAAAATTAAAAGTTTAAAAGATACTCAAACCAAACAGAAGGACATAAAGTTAAAACTACTTTATCCTAATACCCAGAAATAACAAGGAGTAGCATTTTGGTGACTATTATTTCAAACTTTTCTCTGTAAACATATAACATAGACAATTTTTCATAAATGAGTCATTTTATGTAAAACAGATTCTTGTGATCTTTTTTTAAAAAACTCAATAATACAAGGACACCTGGGCGCCTCGGTCGGTTAAGCGTCTGCCTTCAGCTCAGGTCATGATCCCAGGGTTCTAGGATCAAGTCCCAAATCGGGCTCCTTGCTCAGCGGGGAGTCTGCTTCTCCCTCTCCCCCTCCCCCTGCTCATGCTCTCTCTCTCTCTGATAAATAAAATCTTTAAAAAATAAAAATGAAAAAATAAAACTCAATAATACATCAAGGACATCATTTCACGCCAAGTAACATGGTTCTACATTATTGTTTTTAATGACTGCATATTATTCTCTGTATGCCGTAACTAGTTGATCCAAAGAAGTCAGACACAAAGAGCACATACTGTGTGATTCCATTTATATGAAGTGCAAGAATAGGCAAAAGTAATCTTCTAACAAAGTCAGAAGAGTGGCTCTCTTTGGTTTGGGGGGGTGAATTTTGTCTGGGAGAGAGTACAAGGGAGCCTTCTGGGGTGCTAGAAATGATCTCTACCTTGATTTGGGTGATACTTACACAGGTGTGTACCTATGTAACAATTCATGAAGCTGTAAATTTTAGATCTGAGTTCTTTACTGCACACGTTACACCCCCAAGAAAATATTCTTGAAGTTTAATATTCAGTTGTTTCTAATTTGTCATTATATAACTCCGATTTTGTTCAGGACAACAAAACCCCATTTATAAAACTCACCACCTTCCCAAACTCTCCTGCAGTGGGGGTGGCAGTGACCCACTTCCAGCTCATGACATATAAGTGGAAGATTGATGGATAAAACCCCCAGGAAACATATGGTTGTCCTTCCCCTTTACCTCTGCCTGAAACTCCGATGCGATGGCCGGAGGTGGAATAGTCATGTTGTGACCACTAGGATGAAAGCTATAAGCTGTGGATGATGAGGGGAGAAGCTAGAAGGGGACTGGGGTCTTGAAGACTTCTTCCAACAGCTTTCTAGCCCTGGATTGCTTAATTCTAGACTCTCTGTTGCAAGACAAAATTACTATTCAATAAGCCACTGCAGTTGGGTTTCTATGACAGCAACTTTAAGTGATAATCTTGTACACATGTCTTAATGCCTAGAGTGGTCATTAAGGCAGTTCACAAATACTCAAGTTCTCCCCCCACCCCCCCAAGCATAAGGCAGGATTGTATTTTCCCTTTGAATCAGATGTGGCCTTCTTTGGCCACTTTCCTTAGCAAAGTGACTTCTGATCATCTGAGTGGGAACTTTAAAAGCCAGTGCTTGATTCTCAACGTTCCCTTCCCCTGTCCTATTGACCATGGAAGCATAGGTGAAGATAGTTTCCAGTGGCCTGGGTCCCCTGAGGGACCATGAAAAGCAAGGCCTCCTGCTGATCTGCTGTGATCAAGTAGTAGGATGAAGGACTGCGTCTTTGTTAGTTAATCCACTGAGATTTGAGGATTGCTTATAATTGCAGTATTTTTTTAAAGATTTTATTTATTTATCTGACAGAGAGAGACACAGCGAGAGAGGGAACACAAGCAGGGGGAGTGGGAGAGGGAGAAGCAGACTCCCTGCCGAGCAGGGAGCCCCACGCGGGGCTCGATCCCAGGACCGTGGGATCATGACCTGAGCTGAAGGCAGATGCTTAACGACTGAGCCACCCAGGCGCCCCTATAATTACAGTATTTAACCTAGTTTATCCTAATATAATACCCATGTTTGACTATCCCCTTGGGATTGTTTCCTATAGGTATGTATGTTTTCAATTTCAATACACATTGCCCAACTGCCTTCCAGAAATGTTAGCTTACACTCTCTCCAGCAGTGCATAACAGAGCCTGTTATATCTTTGTGTTACATTGAAAACTGAGCTTTTAATCTTTCCTAATCTGATAGGAAAGAAAGATATGCCACTTTTTCTTATTTATTTTGTATCTTTATAAAATCTTACCCTTTTTTAGTAGGAACTATAAGAGACATGTTATAGTTAAGGTTCAAGACCGTTTACTGTTGAAGAGGAAGGAGAAAGGATCAAACATTTAATAAGCCCTTATTCTATGCCAGGTGTTGGGCTTGGAGGGTTAGTCAACATTCATGCAACATTTATCAACAAGGAACCCGGTGCCAGAGGAACACAGGTGAACATTTTCCTCTCAGAAAGTCTCTCGTGGGTCTTTAATCCCATCTACATCTCTGTAGAAAACAATTTCACCATGGGCCCCTAAATGATAAATTGCTCGAAATGAGTTGATTGTGGGTATTAACTATGTTTCCTATGCCACCGGGAAATTGCCTTCCCTAACTCCCGGGTCCCCAGGACACCCAGGCCACTCGCTGCTTATATCGCCCTCTAGTGGCCACATCCATGAACTACAGGAGCCGGGACGACCCAGTCTCCTTTATTTATTTATTTTAAGATTTTATTTATTTGACTGAGAGAGACTGCACAAGCAGGAAGAGCAGCAGAGGGAGAGGGAGAAGCAGGATCTTCGCAGAGCGGGCGGAGCCCGATGTGGGACTCGATCCCAGGACCCCAGCATCATGACCTGAGCTGAAGGCAGTTGCTTAACCAACTAAGCCACCCAGGCGCCCAAAGACCCAGTCTCCTTAGATGAATACTTCAGTAGCCGGCCTGGTGGGAAATAAAAATGGGAGAAAAAAGCAGTCCCTTTAAAAGGGGCAGGTGCTCTTCAACTCCAGCCAGAGGGGGCTGCATCACAATACAGCCTGGTGTTGCCTGATCTTCTGAATATTCAAAAGAAGCCAGAAGTCCAAAATTTTATTTACAATCTTCACAATAACGATTAAATCAGTTTTCAATAAAACACTGTAAAGGACAAATCCAACTCACGCACTAGCCAGGATGCCCCCCACACACACCTGCTGTCACTTTGTGACATCTGTATTATTTTTCTCAGAAAGAACTTCGAGAGCGCCTGCCTTAGATTCACCAGCTGTGCTTATTCAAATGCAGATTGCCGGAGTTAATGAATGAGACTCTGGGGTGAGGCAGAAATTTGCCTTTTTAAGAAGCCCCCTAAAGTGTTCTTTATGCTTACTCAAATCTGAAAAACTCTTCCTTTAAATCAGAGTTCTCCAATTTTAGTGCGCATCAGAATCACCTAGAAGGCTTATCCAAACAGTTTTGGATGTTGACCAGCCCTTGCGTAGGCCTGAGAATCTGTATTTTTAGTGAGTTCCCAGGTGAAACCGACTGATGCTGCTGATCCAGCAACAACACTCAGAACCACTGAATTTGAGGATGAATGTGAACTGAGTAAGTCTGTGCTAGACGCATCCTTCCAGACTTTATGAGATAAGTAGTCCCACTTTACCGACAAAGAAGTGGAGGCTAAAACAGACTGAGAACTTTCTGCTGGTCAGGATGTAATCATCATGCTGATTAAAGCAAGTCTTGAATTCTGATCCCTTACCACCCCTTCCCCCAATCTTCCCTGGCTATATGGTATAGGGTAGGCTCTCCCCACTCTCCTCACATGGCCATCAGGATTCTCCAAACTTGCCACACTATTCCCCGTGGCTGCCAAGGGCCTCATCCTCATCCGCACCATCCTCGGGGTCAGATCCTGCGCATCCAGTCCCTTAGAGGGTAGAGCCTGGAAGCCAGATACTCTCAAACATCTCCCAAACCCCCTGGCAGCTAAGGAGGTGATTTGGGTTCCCCTACCTGGATGCACTTGGGCAAGGTCAGGTTTTGGATGGCAGGACCTCCAGTGTGCTCGTGGAAGCAGTGGCTATAGACGCGGCTTCCTGAACTTGGCAGAATCAGGAGCACCTGTGACTGTCCAGTCTGGACTCGGACTTGGAGTCATCTGGGGATCACCTTCAGTCTGAGGTCTGTTCCTTCGGGCCTCCCCATCACCTGTAAGTCTGTTAGCCATTCAGCCTCCTCCAATAACTCCCTTTCTGCTTACAGCTAGCTAGTCTTGACTCTCTTCTCTGGGACCGAACCCAGGATAACAGCACAAACACCCACCTGTTAAGTTTAATAACTGGCTCTCTGGGAAAAGGAATACACGTCTATAAATCTTACTCTTACAAAGGGTGTGCTGCACAACAAACAAAACAAACTATACTCTTACTGAAAGTTCCATATAGCCAAGTGATTCTCACAGAATGCTGTTGCAGACTCTGGCTGAGTTCTTATGACCGTGGCCAATCTATAGTCACAATTCAACCATGATTGGAGAAATGAAGTTGCATCCAAACCACTCTTCTCCCAATAAATTTAATATTATTAAGTATGGTTTGTAATCTACTGGCAAACTACTTCTCACCCTTGTATAAATTATATTCATTAACCGAAACCCCCTCTAGCTTTAGCACTATGTATATTGGAACTTGGCTTGTTCATCAGTGATGTAACTTCTATGATGAATCTATGATGAATACTGTTTAAATACTGGAAAAACATTTCTGTAATTTTCTTCTCTTTACAATGTGATGGCTACAGACCCAGCCCACTTTCAAATTTAATCTGCATTATAAACAGTTTCTCTATAGCTTTCTTAAGACAATCAGCAAAGCCATATATCAAAACCTGACTCAGAGTGCTGATTTCCACTGTCCCACTGGGGCCAATTTTCAGCTACCAACGTGAAGTCACTGCCTGTGGAGGTGGGAAGAGACGTGCACAATTGATAGTACTTCCACCAGATAGATAAAATGGACATAAATAAACTCCAGAGCACAGATAATAGTAAAATGCAGTACGTCATGAGGAAATGATGAATTTTCATTATTTGCTATCCTTGTTTTCCATATAATATATTTAACTATAGGTTTATATAATTTAATTTTTAGTAATTATTGTGTTTATTGTCTTGCAAAATTCCTGAAAACTTAATCAGCTCTCATAGGCCAGTAAGAACCAACTCCAGCATGCAACCAATCTTGCCCTTCCTTTTGTCTAATGGTCCAACACTTCAAGGCTCAACTCCTCACCTTTTCCAGGAAGCCTTCCTTAAAGCCCCCAGCCTTTGGAGAGGTCTCCCTCCTAAATCCTTGTAAACTTAAAGAGTTTGCACTAATCACTTGGTAGCTGGCCTGGATAACTTTGTGTCTGCTCAGAATCTAGTGGAAGAGAGATATAAGGAGAGAGAAACAGTCTTTGCCATTCTCAGATCCCTCCAGAGCATGAACCAACCTTGGCAAAAAATCAACAAATGTTTGGTGGCTTAATAGGAGCAACAGCTACATGGGAGATACTAAAAGTTTGGAGACAGAATCCTGGCTCTGCTACTTACTAGATGGGTGGCCTTTCCTAAGGTGTCTTAACTTCAACTTCCTCATCTGTAAACGTGGAATAATAATATCTTCCTGATAGAGCTATGGCGAAGATTTATGGTGAAATTGTACTATGTACACAGTTCATCAAAGCACTGCTTGAAATAGCAAAAGATGGGGGCGACCAATCCATCAATAGGGACCTGGTTAATCCAGTACAATCATATAGTAAAACACTGCACAAGTGGTAAAAAAAAAGAGTGGGTTCTTTATGGACTGATATGGAACAATCTACAGAAATACTCTTGAAACAGGGCGCCTGGGTGGCTCAGTTGGTTAAGCGACTGCCTTCGGCTCAGGTCATGATCCTGGAGTCCCGGGATCGAGTCCCGCATCAGGCTCCCTGCTCGGCAGGGAGTCTGCTTCTCCCTCTGACCCTCCTCCCTCTCATGCTGTCTCTCATTGTCTCTCTTTCAAATAAATAAAAAAAAAAAATCTTAAAAAAAAAAAAAAAGAAAAGAAATACTCTTGAAACAGCAAAGTGCAGAACAGCCTGCGTAGCATGACGCCATTTATGAAAACAAGGAAAAAACATACACACGCATTTGCCTTTATACACAAAGAACAGATGCAGGACAGACACAGAAGAAAGCGGTGACAGTGACTGTCCCCGGAGAGGAACACTGGGTGGCAGGGGGAAGAGGTGAGAGGGAGACATTTCTCTTTTGAACCTTTTAAATTTCGAACCATGTGCAAATAAACCAAAACAATTAACAACGCTAGCTGAACCCCTGGAACAGGGGCAAAGGGTCTCAAAAACATGGCGGTTCTCATGATGATCATGAAAACTACATAGGGGTTGAGCAGAGTCCACAACGGACAGAAAGGTCGACTCAAATCGCAAATCCCAGCCCCTGAGAAGAGCTTTGGAGTCAGACAGACCTGAGCTGAATCCGGCTTCTGCCCCTCATCGACTATGTGACCTTGGAAAAGCTGCTTAACCTAGTGCCTCAGTTTTCACCTCTGTCAAATGGGAATAATGGCAGTACCGGCCTGAGCTGGGATTCTGTGAGGCTGAAATGACACAAAGCACATGGAGCACACAGCCTGGGACACGGTAAGTGCTCAATAAATGTCAGACTCTCTTTTCATTATCAACCAACAGAGAAGTTGGCAAAGGACATAAAACAATTCACAAAAGATGAAATTTGGATAGTAAACAAACATCTCACTGGTAATGAGGAAAAATGTAAATTAAATCCTCAATGAGGTAGCAGTTGGCATCTATGAAATTAGGTAAATTTTGAGGGAATGACAGGCGCGCCTGGCAGAGGTGTGTGGCGCTGGCAAAGCGCACACTGCTGGAGGCTAGATAAAGTGGGTCCTTCTGGACAGCAACTTGTTCCCAAATCCATAAACATGGTGATACCAAGCAATTCTGCTTCTTCTTTTTTTTATTCATTTTTGAGAGACAGAGCATGAGCACAAGCAGGGGGAGGGGCAGAGGGAGAAGCTGAGCAGGGAGCCTGATGCAGGACTCCATCCCAGGACCCTGAGATCATGACCTGAGCTAAAGGCAGACGCTTAACCGACTGAGCTACCCAGGCGCCCAAGCAATTAATTCCACTTCTGAAAATCTATTCTGAGGCGATGAGTTCATGGGTGATTTCTTCCCTCTTTCTAGAACTATGTTTTATAATGTGGTCATATCATGTCTATAATTTAAAGATTGTAATTTTATTTTATTTTTTTTAAGATTTTATTTATTTATTTGAGGGAGAGAGAGCACAAGCAGGGGGAGGGGCAGGGGAGAGGGAGAAGCAGACTCTTCACTGATCAGGGAGCCCAGTGAGGGACTGGATCCCAGGACCCTGAGATCATGACCTGAGCCAAAGGCAGACGCCTAACCGACTGAGCCACCTAGGCAACCCTTAAGATTATAATTTTAGGGCGCCTGGGTGGCTCAGTCGTTAAGCGTCTGCCTTCGGCTCAGGTCATGATCCCAGGGTCCTGGGATCGAGTCCCACATCGGGCTCCCTGCTCGGCAGGAAGCCTGCTTCTCCCTCTCCCACTCCCCCTGCTTGTGTTCCTGCTCTCGCTATCTCTCTCTGTGTCAAATAAATAAATAAAAATCTTTAAAAAAAAAAAAAGATTATAATTTTAAAAACTGATCTGGCATCATTAAGACTCAAGGGCCAAATGTATAATTTAAATATGTATCTGTATGTAAATAAGCATGTATATGAGCTCAAGGAGGGGGTACCCCCGTGGCCCTCTTTCTAATTAACAGTGTATCTCAAAGTTCACGGCAACCCTCTGAGGGAGGGAGGCCAAATTGCGTGGTATGCCTTTTACATCTGGAACACGGACGCTCAGAAAAGGAAGTGCTGCAAAACAGGGCTCAGCCCCGCCTGCGTGGCCACAGGACATTATGCTAGGCGTGCCTTCCCGGCTTCCACCCCGCCCCATCCAGGGCCTCTCACCTTGCTGACAAACATGATAGAGGATGATTCTACAAAGTCTTTTGAGATCAGCTGCCCATACGAGAACTTCTCCACCTTCCCCAGGGTTACGAGCTTCCAGAGCTTCTCATCAGACAACGACTCAAACAGATCCATCTTCCTGAGGGGAAAATCCTGTTAGAATTCATCGCCCTCCATCACAGAAGGTGCTCAGCTCTCAGCAATTTCCAGAAAGGGAACGTGTCGTCTTGCTCTTGCAAATGCCTGAGGTGGAGGATTTTACTCACCTCCAGTTGCCTCACCTGGCCTGTGGCACCCCCTCCAGCACACCCCGCCCTGCTGCTCCTCAGTCTGGTGCTATGCACCTCTCACTTCCACTCTGCCCTCCAGGGGCTTCTTCCTGGCTCCATCCCTCAACCCTGTGCTCACTAGGCTAGTCTCATTCCAAGCAACTCTGAGAGTTCCTCACTTCAACTCACCTGCTCTTCTGTCCCCCAGCCCAGCTGTCCTGCCCCTCCCTTTGGTTTGGGCAGCTCACTCCAGCCTCCTCCAGCCTGTTAGCTTCAAAGACTCGGGCCTGTGCCTGATGAATGGGGGACATCTGGACTCCCCTCTTTTTGCCTTTGTTCCCTATGACTGAAGGCCCACCCCGCAGTGCCCACCCCTTCCCCTGAGCTGAGGCGCCACCAGTCAGTGGCTTGCCTTCCCTCACATGCAGCCCCACAGGGCTGCTAACAATCATCTCATATTTTCTCAGCTCCCATAGATCACGGAGCCCAGAACTCGGGTGACACAGGGCACTGAGCTCCGTCCAGGGCACTAAGGGGGAACAAGGTCGGTGCCATGTCCAAAGGAGGAGGGTCTGGAGACACAGGAAGGGAAAGCAGGGTCACCACAGAGGCAACACCACTGGGCCACACACTTCCCGGGATTATCTCATTCACTCCTTACAATGATTTGGGAGAGATGAATCATTATCCCCACTTTACAGAGCAGGAGACTCAACTCAGAGAAGGGAGGTGACCCATCTAGGGTCACACAGTTGATAAGCCCAAGAGCTAAGCTTGCAGCTCAGCCCCAATTTTCCACTGTGTGAAAACAGGAAGTGCTCCCCCCTGCAGGACTAAGTCCTCCCTTTGCAGGCCCCAGTCCCCTCTCACAGCTCCTACTCTCTCCACTCTCCCTTACCCTACAGGGTAGTGCTCTGCCACCACATTGCTCTAGAACTGCACAGCCCTACAACCTGTATTTTCAGGGCCGGTGCAGATACTTCATCCGATTTCCATTCTTTTCCTAAAGGTGAGTAACTCAAAAGGATACAATGAGCACCTGCATGTGCCTGGCACCATGACGATGCGGGGAGTACCATGGCGAAAGGGCCACTCTGCCCTCACGACCATAAGTGCTTCCTGTCTGACGGACAAATAAACTGTAAAGAAGGTACTATGTAATCAAGAATCACAGTTTGGCTGGGACTTTAAAGAAACATGGGGTGTGATAGAAGCATTGGGGGGGCACTCTCTCTATTCTGGAGTGATGGGGTTGGTTAGTGAGGTGGGGCGGTGAAGCCCAGAGACTTCTGAATTTAACATTCTGGGTACATCACCACCCCGAGGTTAGATTTCCTTACCTGTCAACTAGACAGAGCAAGAGAAACAATGTCACGGGATTGAATGAGAGAAGTTAAGAACCCTGGTACAAAGGGCTGAGTACATGTTAGCTATTCTATTAGCACCATCCCACAAGGAAGGGATGTTTGAGCTGAGACCTGAGGGTCGAGTAGGAGTTTGCTAGACGAAGAAGTCAGGTGGGAGGTGTCTCCCGTCTCAAGAGCATTCCAGGCAGAGAGAGCAGGACCTACCGTTTCCCACTGGGCTTACGACAGTCAGGCGCCTAATAAACACACAGAGGGGAGATGTTGGCTGATGATGGAAGGTACCTAAAAAATTCAAATCGATGCTGAGCATCCTTTTGGAATTCCTGGTCCAGCTTATTCGCAAGGAAATCTTCTCTGTCGACAACCAGGAATTCTGTTTCTTCCATACAGACCACAGTGGCCCTCCTTAGTGATGGAGTCAGAACGCCCAATTCCTGTTGGGTGCACACGGGCAAAGGCAAGTGAGAGGCTACCTCTAGCTTTCTGCTCGCAGCCTTGCCCACCTTTTTCCTGCTTCCATCAGCCCCCAGAAATCTCTACTCCCCAGACTGCAGACTCCCCGGCTGGCCCTGTGCTCCTGCTCATTCCCCATCTCTGGGGGCCCATCCCCTCCCTCTTAATATGCTGCTTGTGGAAAAAACAGGCAACAGGCTTGACCAGACCAGAGAGAGGAAGCCGGAGGGGCCTCACTGAGGGGTCACTGCATCTCTGCAGGGGTTATACAGGGAACACGTTCCTTAAACATCACAGACCGAGGAGCCAGCCTTGGACACGGGCTGGTCCAGTCAATTGGCCTGTGACAGGAAAGGGTGCTAGGACCCAGGGCATTGACTTACCCACAGGAGAAGGCAGGACTGGGCCTGGCTGTTCTAGCCAGAGCCCTGTCAAGCCCCCACCGCTGCCCCCAGCAAAGCAGACCTTGCCCCACGCTTACCCCAAAACAGTCGCCCTTGTGCAACAATACGGGGTGGGTGTCCAGGAAGGCGCTGCTGCCATCATCATCCTCAGTCACTGCGACGGTGCCCAGGTAGATGAAATAAAAGCTGTTGCCCCTCTGCCCCTTCTTGATGATCACGCGCCTGCGACCAAACCTGAGGAAAGACCGAGGCCAGCAGGTCTGGTAGCAGCAGGGCACTGCTGTGCTCTCTGCTCTGGAGCATGAAGGCACAGACTGGGACGAGAAGGGACCTCACAACAGCCCAGCCCCAGCCCCATCAAGCTCGACGTCTTCACTAACATCCCCCTAGTTGCCCGCCTCCATCAGACTGAGGCTTCCTGAGAGCAGAGCCTTCGTCGGTCTGCGTCGGCACACAGAACATGCTCAGTGAACAGCAGCTGAGTAAATGAATGACCAAATCCTGGAAGTAATGGCTCAGTAGCTAAATGATGGAGACCAGGATCCAAGTCCTGATTCTGCCGCAAGCTGCATGGCAGTGGGCACTCATATTCTCTCTCTGACCCTCAGGGTCTCTTGTCTGTAAAATACAGATGAACATGCCTAGAAAAAAAAATAGATAAATGGTCTTCTAATCCCTGAGAGCTCACTACATAATTGGGAACCGTTAGGGTAGAGGTGCCCAGGTCCAGAGCAAACTGGGAGTTAGTTCTTTAGCTCCAAGGGAGGAAGATTTCTGCACTTCAAATGTAAGTTCAAATTTCACTTCTTTCAATATTCATTTGTTTCCTTCCTTCGTTCAATAAGTTAAATAAATACCAACTGTGTCTATCAGGCAGAGCGAGAAAGGACAGATTTTGTCCTGAAAATTATGGTCAAGTACAGGGACTAAATAAGGTTTAAAAATGCTTTAAGAGAGGGAAGCACAGGTGAATTCAGAAGCATGGAGAAAGGGCACTTAACCAGCTTAGGAAAGGCAGAGCAGGCTCCAGGATAGTGTCTGGAGTCTTCCAAGTAGACAGAGAGATGGAAGAGTGTTCCAGGCAGAGGGACCACCAAGTCCAAAGGCAGAGGCGCCTGGAAGGATGGTGCCTTCAAAGGAATAGCAGTAAGCTCCATTAGAAAGGAAAATGGAAGACAGGGAGGTCAGTGGGGTAGTGGGAGAGAAATTTGGCTAGGTCCAATCACAAGACACTTCAAACACTGGGCTAACTTTGGATTTTACCCAGAAGGTAATGGGAAACACAAAAGTCTGGAAAGAGGAGATGGCCCAGATGACAATGACTAGATGGGAGAAGACAGGCACATTCAACTGGGAAATGAGACTTTGGGGAGCATAGCTAGGGCTCATCCAAGTCCAGACTCCTGGAGCTGGAGCTGGAAAGACCCTCAGGAACCGTCTAGCTGAATCCACATGGCTGAGATGAGCGAAGTGGGAGCTAAGGAGCCCCAGGCTTGCTGAAGGCACACAGTGAGTCACATCTGAGTCTGCACTAGACCCCAAATCTCCTGTAGCAGACATCTGTGGCTTTTGTTGTCAAGCGTCGGGTCACCTTTTCCACCAGCTGCACCCTGACTTTACTTTGGGGGAAACACCTTTTCTTGACTCTCAGGCAATCCGTCATCTTGCTGCCATGAGAGGGAGAGTCTGGCGGAGAAGGTGGTTTATGAGAATGGAGTGTGAGGAGGTGGAGAGAGACAGACAGATACTGGGTTCCTGGGGACACTGAGTCCCCTGAATCCAGCTGAGCCGGAAGCTGGAAAACTATCCCAGGACTTTTCAGATACTTGGGCCACTCTTGCATTCCCTACAGCTAGGTTTTCTGTCCCTTGTGACTGAAAGAATCCTGTGTAATCTGCTCATTTCCAGTCCCAGAAATAATCAACTAGCTGAAGAGGGCTTTAACAATCACCACCCCTTCATCTTCACACAAACCCATAAAACCTGTATCAGTATCCTCATCCATGTAATGAGGATACTGAGACCCAGCAAGGTTAAGTGGCTTGCCTGAGGTCACACCTCAGAGTGGCAGATGCAGCATCACATTCCAGAGCTTCTACCCCAGTGATTCTTTTTCTTTGCTTGTCACCATCCTGCCTGCTATGGAATCTTACTTTAAGACGGCGGTGACTTGCTCTTCTTTACTGGGCTAGACACAAAGCAGATAGTTCCCTCTACCTGGAATGTTCTTGTCTACACTTCCACTTGTCATATATACGCACTCCAATGCCACCTCTTCTGTAAATCTCCTTTGGCCAAGCCAGCTGGAGGGTTCCCTCCTCTCTTGGGCTTACTGCCTTTAAACAGATCCTGCACAGGTCGTAACAGGCCTTAATCTATAGCTAGTTGTGATTATGGGATCTGGGACCTCCTTGAAGGGGCACAGACCAATAGTGTCCTTACAGCCTAGATTTTCAAGATAGGCCTTACCTCAAATATTCTGCTAGGCTGCCTTTCTTAAGCCACCTAAATGTCCAAGAAATGGCAATATTTCCACACACACATCTTAGACTTCTCTAGTACAAGGTATTTATGTGGTGCTTTTTGTGTCATGGACCCTTTGACAATCTAGTGAAGCCTTCACAGAATAATGTTTTAAATATATAAAATAGGGGTGCTTGGGTGGCTCAATCAGTCAAGCATCTTCTTTCCGCTCAGGTCATGATCTCAGGGTCCTGGGATCAAGCCCTGCATGGGGCTCCCCACTCAGCAGGGAGTCTGCTTCTCCCACTCCCTCTGCTCCTCCCCCCTGCTCATATTCTCTCTCTCAAATAAATAAATAAAAATCCTTTAAAAAATGTTTTTTCAATAAATAACTATATATATAAAATAAAATACAGCAGAAACAGCTAATAATTGCCTTTTAAAACCCAAACTGTGAGGGCACCTGGGTGGCTCAGTCAGTTAAGAGTCTGACTCTGAGATCATGACCTGAGCCAAAATCAGGAGTCAGACTCTTAACTGACCGAGCTCTGTGCTCAGCGGGGAATCTACTTCAGATTCTCTCCCTCTGCCCCTTCCCCCTTTGCCCTCTCATGCCCCCTCATGCTCACACACTCTCTCTCTGTAAAATAAATAAATGTCTTTATTTTTTTTTTAAGATTTTATTTATTCATTTGAGACAGAGAGATACAGAGAGAGAGCACAAGCAGGGGGAGCAGCAGAAGGAGAGGGAGAAACAGGCTCCCCACTGAGCAGGGAGCCCAATGCGGGGCTCGATCCCAGACCCTGGGATCATGACCTGAGCTGAAGGCAGATGCTTAACCATCTGAGCTACCCAGGTGCCCCAATAAATAAGTCTTTAGAAAAAAAAAACCCAATTGTGGTATAGCAATATATGTACATCTTTATTAAGGCACTGAATAACAAGATCTAGCAGCAGATCTAATTACTACCATAATTTCAAAGCTGTGATGAATATAAATTATTTTTTGAAAAACGTGCAACAACATGAATGTGTAATCTTGGTGATTTCCTTTGGTGAAAAAGTCACAGGAATAGCTAATACTGGTTCATTACCTACATCTGCAATTAAAGGAAATGATAAATTTTAGTTAGAGGTTAACGAAAACAGATGTGAAGTTTTTTTTTATCCAAGCTCACAGACCCTTGCTCTAGTTCCTATCTGGACATAGTACAATCACCCGTGACCCACTGTGGCTTTTCAGGCTTGGATGTGAGTCTCAGCTCTACCCCCCATTACTTGGGTGACAGAGTATGAGTCATTCGTACCCTCTGAGCCTCTGCTTCCTCATCTGAAAAAGGAGGGAATTGGACCAGATCCTTTCTGAGGCTCCTATCAGAGCCTTTCCAGATCCAGTGGCTCCTAAATCCTGGGGAGACTAGCAATAAATGAAGGACATCAAGTGTTCTACAAGCATAACAAGAAGCACTCGAGTGAACAGACAGATAGCTTTTCACGGCTGATGCGCCACGGAGACACCAGCAGACCTGCCACAGCCTCATCAGGCAGGCTCTTCCTGTCCAGCCCGTCCCAGCTCAGGTGCCAAGGGGTGTGCCCCTCACTGACCGTTCAAAGCGCATGACTCTGGCCAGGAGCAGCTGCAGGGGCTCTGAGTAGTTGCGGTAGCTGCCCAGGACCTGCAGGAGGTTACGGAGGGCCTGGATCTCGGGCTCTGTCCTCCAGGAAGGCAGCTTCTGTGCGATGTGCATGGCTTTTGGAGGAAAGTGACCCTGGGGAGAGAGGACCAGAGTGACACACAAGACCCAGCAGTTTCCCCCAGGGGCCACTCCCCGTACAATAGTGGCTGACATGTACTGAGCACTTACTGCACACCTGGCATTAGGATGCGCACCATCTCACTGCATCTGCACACACCATCTCACTGCATCT